ATAGGTTAAAACTAATTGCAACGTAAGTTGCAACATTAAAAGTTGCAACATATTAATTACAGTTTCCATCTTTAATTCAACCTAATCCTATTATTGAAGAAAGTTCAGACGAAGAAACAATTACTCAAACCAATTTAGAAACTATTCTTGAAACTTTGGAAACTTTTGACTTAGACAAAGAAACTGTTACTGAAGCAGCCGAAGGATATTTACCAAATATTGAACAAAGAAGACAAACTCTTACAGATTTAGTTATTTCACACGAAGAAACTGAATATCCACCCTTAACTGTTACTAATCTATACTCTGATTCTGAGTACTTGCCAACTAATTATTCTCAAGAATCACTGTTTCGACTTTCGAATTTAAATTTGAAACAATCGGAAGAAGCCTTTCGAATAGTTGTAGAAACTCAACCAAAAAATTTTTCTGAAAATGATTCATTTAGTACTGTTTCACCAACCCTAGGAAGAGGAGGATTTCAAGAATCATCAACGTCTAACTTATTCAATAACATTGCAATTAGAACCATAGGAAATAGATCTTTCACATTTTCACCAGTAGCAACCAGTATTCCAATAATTAAAGGAAAACAACCAGTCACACATTTAACTCAATTTTCCAAAGCCAATACTTCTTCTAGTTCTACAATGTCTCACTTTGGTAGCCTATCTGGAGGAATTACTATAGGAACTCCTAGTATTGCATTAGGAAGTAATAATCCATCCCAACCACCAGCTGTCACAATAATAGCGAATGTTCAATAGAGTAATGTAGCTAATAATCCTAATACAACAGGATTTAATATTGCCACTACTACTGTAAATAGTAATACTGGAACAGGTTTTGGAGTAACAGGAATGGGATTCAGATAACCACAAACTCAACAAACTCAAACTGCACAACCCTAACAAAATGTTCCTTTTAATCAATTCGCTCAAGGTGGTAATCAAAATAATCAAAATACACAATTAGCTCAGATACCAACAAATTACATTTGCCTTACAAACGATGGCTGTAAACAACAATAATGCAGGACAGATATAAGTTAATCGTGCTGAACTCAACCTGGTAAAACCAAACTATTTTTATGGACTTGATGATAAAGATCCTTTTGAATAAATTGCCTCTTTTAATCGAGCTACTACTGCAAATCAATGGAATAATAATAGAAAAATAGCCATTGCAGCTAGATATTTAAGAGGTGCCACAGCCAAATGGTACGATGAAAATCAAGGAAATTATCAAAGATGGCATGTATAAGGAAATCCTAATAGCTTTGTAAATGCATTCTTAAACTATTTTGCCAACGTCACTATGAAAATAGATGGATGTCTGAGTTAGAAATAATTAAACAAAATCCTGGACAAAGTGTATCTGATTATACCCAGAAGTTTAAGATGTTAATGCAGCGAGTTGATACCACTGAAGGATTTGGACAACATTATATTGTTAGTAAATTCGTCAGAGAATTATTACTCCATTTAATGACCATAATAGTCGGCCATAGCCCTCAAACTTTAGATGCGGCTATCACTAAAGCTAAAGAAATCGAAACTGGATTTACTATTGCTCAACCAATCCAACAACAGCAGATAATGGTCAATCAAATGGAGATTCTACAGCAACAGATTACGCAATTAACTGCAAATCTGGCAAACACCTAAGTCTAATCAAATCCACGTCCTAGGTGAAATCAACAAAACTAGCAAAACTAATGAAATACAAGCTTTCAAAATAACTGAACTAATGAATGTTGGAGATGTGGTGAGGAAGGACATTTTGCTAAAGAATGTCAATTAAAAACACCTGTAAAAGCCTAACCAAGATTCCAAAATCAAAATCAACATCAAAATCAAAATCGTATACCATACCGTCCATCTGGTAGACCACAACAACATAATGTTAATTTAACTGAAACAAAGTAAACAGAACAAGATGAAGAAGTATATACTACAACTAGAATTTTCCCTAGAACTGAGTCAAGAGAAGAACAAAGGATATGAACTTCCCCTCAATCTCCTAAGCTTACCCCTCAAGCTAGATTTGTTTCACATTATGAACAACCCTATAATATTGTTCAAGATTTAGAAAGACATGATGCTAATATAACTTTTGGACAACTATTATGAAACCCTCAATATCTACAAGAATTGAAAGATCAAATTAACAAAGTAGAAAAAGAAATTGGAATTAATATCATACAGACTCATGTTAATGATAATAAATACACTGCCGCCAGATGTATTATGCAATATAAATTAAATCCTATTGAAGTAATTTTGGACTCAGGAGCTGCTGCCTGTATTATCTTAACAACCTTGGCTAATAAATTGAAGATTAAGCCAAATAAGTCATCTGATATCTTGGTAATAACTGCTGATAGACAAAGAAAAAGATCATTAGGAATTATTACTTCGGTTCCTTTGATTCTACAAGGAATTTAATTCACTATCGATTTACAAGTAATTGAATCACCTCAAAATACTTTATTATTAGGAATCAACTGGTTCAAAACATTCGATGCTAGATTGTATTTTGATCAAGATAAATTGCGAGCAAAAATCCAGAACCAGTTAGTAAAATCGCTGATAAAATGTATTGAAAAAGCAAAACCATATTTCAGAATATTAGCCAACACAGCTAAAAGTGAAGAGGAAGAATATGAGGATGAAGCTCTCTTTGAAATGGATCTCTTCCAATTTGAGAATGAAAATGAGGAAAGGAAAATCCATTCAGATTCAGAAATCGATAAGGATGAATTAGAACGTATTGAATAGCCTTATAATGAAGAAGAGTTTATAAATCTTTATATAACTAATGTTGAAGAAAATGAAATGATAGAACAAGTCACTGTCAAAGCTCTTATTCCGAAGGAAATTATTTCAACTAGAAGAACTGACATTAGATTAACTCCATATGTAAATTATCAAATACCCCTTAAACTTGAAGTTAGACCTATTGCTCATTCACCATATAGGTTAAACCAAGAGAAAAAAGATTTCTTAGAAAAAGAAATTGATAAAATGTTAGAAACAGGGATTATCTAAACCTCTGAAAGTCTCTGGGCCTCTCCAATAGTAATCGTATCAAAAAAAAGGAGATCTAAGAATTTGTGTTGATTACTGATCACTAAATGCAATTACTATTACTAACAATTATCCAATCCCAAATATGCAAGACCAATTAGAAAACTTTAGAACTACAAAATATTTTACTGCTCTTGACTTAGCTAGTGGATACTGGTAAGTAAAAATGCATTCAGCAAATCAACCAAAGACTGCCTTTATAATACCGTCAGGTCTTTATGAGTTCAAAGTAATGCCCTTCAGATTAAAGAATGCACCTGCAACCTTTCAACGTCTAATGAATTGAGTATTACATCGATTAATTGGAAAGTTCTGTGCTGTCTATCTTGATGATATTATTATCTATTCCACTTTATTCGGGGATCATTGTCAACATGTTCAACAAGTTTTTAATAGACTTAAGGAAGCAGGATTAAAAATTAAGCCAAGCAAATGTATCTTTGCTGTCAATGAAGTTAGCTACTTAGGACATATTGTAGGTAGTAATAGAATCAAACCTGATTAGAAGAAAATTCAAGCAATGATTGATTTACCAACTCCAAATAATCCAAAGGAAATGCATATAGTACTAGGACTCTTTTCTTATTATCGATGTTTCATTCAAAATTTTGCCAAAATTGCTAGACCGTTATATGATCTTACAAAGAAAATTACTGAATGGTCATGGACTCCTGAACACCAGAATTCCTTCAATGTTTTAAAAGGAAAATGATTACTGCCCTAGTACTTGCATAACCAAACTTAAAAAACAAATTCATTTTACAAACTGACACATCAAATGAAGGATTAGGAGTAGTACTCACTCAAAAAGATGAATAAGGACTAAAACATCCAATTGCATATGCTAGTCGAAAACTATCTAGTTTGGAATTAAAATATATCACAACAGAAAAGAATGTCTTGCCGTCAGATGGTCTATTAAACATTTTGATTATTATTTATGTTATCAACCTTTTGAAGTAGTCACTGATCACTCTGCTTTAAACTGGTTATTAACTACGAAACATGTAAAAGGATGAGTTGTGAGATGAGCTTTATTCTTTCAAGCATATGACTTTACTATCAAATATAGACCTGGTATCAAAAGTCAAAATGCTGATATATTCTCGCGAATAGTCCCAATCAATATAGCATTAACTGAAGATGAAAAAGAAGATAATCGGTGAATACAAGTACATTTCTCTGCTTTAAATATCCCAGGATGTCAAACAAAATGGCAATGGAATGGATTAAATAATAATTGAAAATATCGAAAGAATACTTATGCCTGTGAGGAAAATGACCATCATTCTCATTGGTATTGTACCAATTGTTTCCAGTGTGCCAATCCATATGGAAATTACATATCTGCACCTACAAAATATACTATTTGCCAATGCAACGAATATGAATATTATGAATATTTAAATATGACATCTGATGGGGACGATGAAAAAGTTGAACAACAACCAGAACAAATTGAGAAAAATAGCGAATCAGATTTCAATTTTAGCGACGAAGAAATTGAATCAATCATAGATAGTAAAGGACAAGATTGGAGGCAAGATCTGCACAATATCTTCTTGAATGCTGCTGAATTTAGACAAACTATCATTAAATGAATGAATGGTAATCAACTTGAGGAATATGCTCAAGAATATTCTGTCAATTATACACTTTGTGGAACAATTATCACTATGAACCTACACCATGAATGTATTATCAGATATAATCTTAGACAAATACACCTTTAGATAGTTCCTGAAACTTTAAATACTGAAGTATTCTGGGATATACCAGAAGAAATGCAATGGAATGATGAAGCTTGTCTTGCAGCAGTTAAACTACTAAACTGACCAAGAATCCTCAAACACGTGAATGGATAGAAGATGAACTTGATGAAATGTTTGGACCCTTTACACCTATTATCACTCCTATTTATGCCTCAACTTTTGATGAAGTTCATAGTAGAGCTAGCATCCCTAGTTATTAAATATTTACCTTTATCTAATTTATTAGTATAGTATTATTAAATTTAAATTAGCAAAATATCAAAGTTATTTATTTCTATTTATTTTATCATTTTAAAGAGATAACACCTAGTTGAATAGTATCTAGTGAGTGAAAGTCTCAACGTTCAAATAATCTAATTGAGTGTAAGCAAAAGTGTAAGCATTGTGACTTGCAGCTCAATTATTCAATATGGACATATAATAATACTTCAAAATACAACAATATTTAAATCACAACAAATACCCTGATTACGTCCAATCGAATCAGAAAAAGAAAAGGTTCATCAATATGACCAAATACTTTACAATTCAAAATTCAAATTTATACCGATATGATAGAAGACAAGCTGGACACCTTTTACAAGTTCTCAAATGGTATGAACTGGAACTAATACTATATATGATATATAATGACTCTATAGCTGGACATTTTGGAATTGAGATAATGTTCAACAAACTTATGATATGATATTATTAACCACAAATATATGAAGATATCAAAGCATACGTTAAAGCTTATGATTCTTGTTAACGTAGAGGAGAATCAAGTAAAAATAATGAATTACATCCTATCCCACTACATAGCTCTTTCTATCAGATAGAAATAGATTTCATTAGACCATTACCAATTACACCACAAGAAAATCGATACATTATTGTAGCCGTTGATATGTTCACTAAATGGCCTGAAGCAAAAGCTGTAAAGAAAGCAACTGCTAGTCATGTTGCTCAATTTATTTATGAAGATATCATATGTAGACATAGTTGCCCTATGAAAATCCTAACAGATCATAGTACTCATTTTAACAATGCGATGATCAAAGAATTAATGGAAAAATTCAGAATTAAACATCATAATTCCACCCTTATCATCCACAAACAAATGGACAAGTAGAATGTTTGAATAAGAGTTTAAAGGAATCATTAGCCAAACTTTTTCAAGAACAAATTGAGTAGGACTTACATATTACCTTTGTATTATTTGCTTATTATACAGCTCAATAGGCATCTACAAAAATGTCACCTTTTCTGTTAACTTATAGATGAGAAGCCAAATTACCCTTAGATGATTATGTGGATCAGCAAAGTAAAAATTTGATCAACAAAGTTCGTCAAATTATAGAAAAATTACCTGAAATTAGAGAAAAAGTAAAACAAACAATGATCGCTGTTAAAAACAAACAGAAGACAGCCCATGATAAACAAATGGTTAAGCCGAAATCATTTAACATTGGACAAAAAGTTTTGTACTATGATGCTGCCAAAATGAATCAATTTTCAGGAAAATTAGAATCAAAATGGAAAGGACCATATAGGATTCACGAAGTTTTAATAAACGGATCTTACAAAATAAGAAAATAGATAGATGGTTACTAGCCAGACCTATAATTGGTGATCTTTTAAAAGAATATTTTGATCAACAGTCATGGAATCCTATGTGGTGATCGATAATAATTTCAGTATTTAAAGGATAAGAAAAATATTCAATGTCTATATTTCTGCAATTTTTGGAAATTAAAAATGGATGATATTTATAATGACTTAATATGACTTGAGCCTATTCAAATGGAACTATGGTCAAGACTATATAACAAATCAGATGATGCAAGTATCAAAATGAAGATATTTCAAAGATATTATCGACGAGCAAAAATGATGAAAAAATGAATTGAAATGCTTGTTTATATGTATTTTACTGGAGAACTTCTAGATGAAATAGATGACTCTGAATATAAAAGAGTCAAGTTAATAATGAATTGACATCAATATGAAGTATCCAGAAAAGTCTTCATCATTTTTAAAGAAATCGGAATGATGCAGTTATTAAGGACTCAAACATTGACTACAACAAAAGTCCATAAAATTCCTAAAGCACAAATTTTTGATTTGATTTCGAGGGTGAAATTATTTCTCATTACATTCGAAATTTAAGTGAAAGGAGATTTGTCAACATCTGAAATCAATCTTACTGCACTGATCATTAGTGACTAATGAAATGACGACGTAATAAGCGTGACTAATACTGTGCTAACTGATCTGCATAATTCTGGATTTTGATGGTTCTTAGGATCCACAGGATTCTGGGAATTCGTAGGATTCTTAGGATTTACTAGATTCTTCAGATTATCATGATTTGTTAGATTTTCCTAATTCCCTGTATTTTTATTATTTTAATTATTATCGTTATTATTCTTATTTTTATTATTTTTATTATACTTATTATTCTTCTTATAATTATTATTATTATTATATTAACACTTGTAATTACAAATTTAGTTAGTTTATAGCGTAGCAATTAGTTAGTCGTAGCAAATTAATTTTGTATAAATAGAATAGCTTTTACTCATGTTGTAAAATAACTCTTTTGCGAGTTTTAAACTCTATTGCGAGTTTCAGTTTTATTACAAGTTCAAGTAATAAAGAAATCAACTTTTAAAACAAAAATACTATTCCCTTTTACGTGTCTATTATCTAGGATTTGATCGTGAACTACTAACCTAACTTGCGATTGAGTTCGTCACTTAGAATAAATAAATTCTCTAAATTTCCTAAATCCCTAAACCCTTAAGTTTGTAAATTAAGTAAAGTAATTCCAAGAAATTCCAAATACCTGTAAGACGTAAGATTCTCTAAAGTTGTAAAGTCTGATGATAAGGAAGTTACTTATCATAGCAAAGGAACTTAGATATATTACATGAAGTAATCAGAGAAGACTATTCTTAGTGACAACACTTAAAACTCTTTTAGATGACACTATTCCTTTAGTTTTAAATATTTATACAATAATTTTTAGATCAGGCAATTGAGAAAAATATATTGAGACTTATGTAAGAGTATATAGTGTTTATTTGCACATTTTAAATGAAAAAATTATAATAAAGTACTTTCTTTCAGATATTTAGTATTAGGAAGTATTATGAAAATTAATTGTATTTTATTAATTTTAAAATAATAAATATATATAATTAATAATTTATTATTGATATATTTAGTATAATAACTAAAAAATATAATCTGTTTAAAAAAATCATATTTAATTTAATAATAAAATTTGAGCTAATCAAAATTATTATACTAGAATGATTATTATTTAATATTAGTATTTTATTAGCAGTCTGTATAAATTTTTCTATATTTAAATTTTATTAAGTAAAATTAATGTAAATTGCTAAATTATATAATATTGATCTAAATTAAAATTAATAATTATGCATTAAAATTATTTTAAATATGTTTTAAAAGTTGAAATATAAAATTATATTTTTATTGCTTTTAATTTTATTATTTTTTTTATAAGCAATTTTATTTATTAATTTGTAAAATTTAGAAGTTTTATATTATATTACTAAAAATATAATTATTACTAAAAAATAATAAATTACTATTAATTCAAAATGAATGTTATTTAAAATTATTATATTATGATCCTATTAGTAATATAAGATTACAAAAATATGTAAAATGATTAGAACTTTTAATCTTCTATAATCCTTTACTTTTCTCTGAATAATATAAAAATATTAGTAAAGTAAAATTTATCTTTATAAATTTTAAAAAAAATAGTTTAGGAGAAAATTTTAAAATATTAAATAAAATATAATCAAATATTTAAGTTAAGCTATTAATTATATTTCAAATATTAAATATTACAAATTATTAATATTATAATATAATTTTTGATTAAGAAAATTTAGGGTTTTTTCTCACCCGAGTTTATTTAGGGTATAAGATTGCAGTGCAACCATATAGAATTAGTTAAGTAACGTAGTAAAATCATATATTGTTACATTTTTTGATCTTGCAGATTTCTTGTAGTGAATTTTTGTTCTACACGTTTTTAAATATGTTTTTACAATTTATTGAGTTTCAATATTTACGATATAGATATGACGATGATGGCACCTTCATACTGTAAAAACATCGAACGCAACTCAAATTATAAATAATAGATCGTATAAATATTTTTAAAATCAATTTTTATCTTTACCTCTTTTACCAATTAGTTTAAATTTTTTTATATATAAATAATGGAGTTGACTCAAGAAACAGAAACAACAAGGACTCGACCTTCACCACAATCACCTTCAGAAAATCAAATCAATTTTAATTTTCAACAACTACAACACATGCAAGCTGCCAATAGTATAGACAGACACTATACACCACAATTGAAGTTTACGAACTTTGCAGCTCAACCACCTATTGTGACAAAGTATGTTACTTCGAAATTTTTAAGACACGATATTTCTTATTTCAATCGGGATGAAGGAAAGAAAGATTTATCTGGTAAAAAGAAGGAAAGTGAAGAAGAAGAAATGTATGAAGACGAAGAAGAGGAAACAACTAGTGAAGATGAGCTAGAGGTAGTAATTATTATAATAATTAAAGGACTTTATAGAATAATGTTAAAATATAACTTATTCCAACGTTCAAATTAATATTTCCCGTTAGTCAAATATCGGATCGAAAGTATTGGTGATACATCCAGGATCAAGATACCTTAGAATCGGCCGCGCCTCTGAGGCATTTCCTATTGTTGTTCCACATGTGATTGCACGCAAAATGAGGAATAAAAATGAGCCTGAAACACAGCTAGAAGAAGAAAGTAAAGAAATCAAAGTCGAAGTTGAAACCGAATATGTTCATCCTGTTCATGTCGAAATCAAAAAGGAAAAAGAAAAGAAAGAAATATATGACGAGGATGCTAAAGAAGCCGAATCTTGTTCAAATTCAGCGGGTTCTTCAGTCGCGACGGAAGAAGAAGATGAAGATGAGGTTAGAATCTTTAACTATTGTTTGACGTTATCTGAGATGATGATAACTTTATTATATCTTGCATTTCTACAAATTAGGAATATTTTAAACAAGCTGTCGGTGAAATAAAAAAAGAATTAAAAGAAAAGATAAAGGCATCTAAACGAAGACCTGTCGCCAATGCACAATCGCAAGTTCACTCATTTAATAAATCTGTTCATCCAGAGATAATTGCGGATCATAATGATCCTTATCGAGTTGATTGGACTTTGGTAGATGAGGATGCCGAGTATTATATAGGAGAAAAGGTATATAAAGATTTAAATTAAGCATTATTATTATTCAATATCAAACGTTTAATAACTTTTTTTTTAAAAAAAATAATATTATATAGGCCCTTAGATTGCTCGATTCAGATGATTCTTTTAAATTGTTTTATCCAATACAAAATGGAGAATTCAACACCAAGGATTATGATTCCATAAAAGCTGTAATCGGAGATCTAGAAACAATTTGGGCTGAGACTATTCGAGAAAAAGTTGGAATTTCTCGAAAGAACTTCAGGGTATTCATTAAATTTCAGCATAAATTTCTTAAAAAGTTTTTTTTATTATTATTGCTTATGGACCTTTGAACATTCTTTTTAGACATATTCTGTAATTCTTATTATTCCTGACATATACAATCGACTATATGTGCTGGAAATGGTCACAATGTTACTACGATATATGGGTTTCCAACGTGTTTTTGTAGCACAGGAATCGATATGTGTAAGTTTTGGAGCTGGCATGTCAGTAGCATGTATTGTTGATATTGGAGCCCAAACCTCTACCATCTCGTGTGTCGAAGATGGAATGTGTATTCCTGATTCCAGGTTATAATCAGTTTTTTTTTATTATTTATAAATTTTAAAAAATATATATTTTTTTTAATGTATTTAATTTTGGTTTTTTATTATTTTTTTTTTTTAGGGTATACCTTAATTATGGGAGTGATGACATCACGAATTTTTTCATTAGACTATTGAAAAGAAGCAAGTTTCCATATGTTGAAATGGATTTAAATCGTGCATATGACTGGTCGTTGGCTGAAGAATTGAAAGAGAAAATTTGTACATTGGATGAAGTATGTTTTTAACATGTGTTTATATTTCTTGCTACATGAGAGACTAAATTTAAATATTCCTCAAAAAATAAGGCCAATCTTACTATTCAATTAAACGAGTTTTATGTTAGAGCCCCTAATAAACCTACATTGAAGTATCACATTAAGACGTATGATGATGCGATTATCGCACCAATGGTGAGAATTAAGTTATACGAACAAATCCTTTGGATTAATGATTATATATTGAGTTAATTTTATATTAATTACCATTATAGCTCTTATTTTATCCTCAAGTAATCAATTTCAATAAGAAACGAACCGATTTTCCTCAAAAATTCGCATCTTATACGATTGATGATATTACAGATGGAGCTATTACTAACAACGGAGTAAGGACGCGAACAATTCAAAAAGTTTGCGCACCATAGATATAATATAAATAATTAAATTTTTTTTTTATAGTTCTCACCAGGATTAGTTATGCCGAAACCAAAACTCTCCGTTGCAACACAAGCAGTTCAAATGCGAACATCTTTTCCTTCACCTTCACCTCAACCTCGTGAAAGTCCAGGATCGACTACACCTCTTAGAATGGATAATGCAGTTCCTACACCCTCGCCTATTCCTGCAGCCGTATTACCTACAACTCAACCTGCATCTCCATCAGTATCGTCTACGGTTACACGTATTCATAATGCTTTTCTTGTAGATCCTGTGTCTGCTCTACCACTTGATGAGGCAGTAATTCAAGGTATCAATGCTGCGGCGACCGAAGAAAGAGCTAAAAAGTTTTATTCGAGTATACTTATAGTTGGTGGAGGAGGGCTTATTCCGGGAGTGAATAAAATGCTAGAAGAAAGGTATCTATCTATATACACTTCTTTTTTTTTTTAAAAAAAAAAAAATTTATAAATAATTATTTTAATGTAATTTGTTAGGCTATCTTCACGGCTAATGCATAATACGGATAAGTTTGAAGTTCTCACATCACCTAGAGATTTAGATCCAAGATTATTAGCATGGAAAGGTGGATCCGTAATGAGTAAATTGGAAATTTTGAATGAATTATGGGTTAATGCAGGGGAATGGAACGAGTTAGGGGTTAGATGTTTGAGAGAAAAAGCATTTTTTATTTGGTAAATTTATTTGTAGTTATTTATAGAATAAGCCTTTTAAAAAAAAATCAATCTAGTTATTTCTTTTGCATATTAAATTTTTATTCATATAAAAAGTACATATAATATATATATAAACATAGATATGCAAAAGACATCTCATTCAAACTATCTATCATTTGCGTTTTTGTCTTTTTAAATTCTTCTTTGTCATGTTAAATTTATTTTTTCGTTTTTTAATTTGTGACGGATCAGAAATTAATCCGTTAAATAGCCCATTTTTATTACCATCACGTTTAGAAGATAAAGCCTTTAAATATAAATAATAGAAATTAATTTTATTATATACATGTATAAAATTAAAAATTTTAATTACCTCATCATCACCATCAGACATATCTTGATAAGATAAACCGCGTCTTGCGTTACGTCTACCAAGAACACTGGTACGCTCTTTTTCCGAAGCTTCAACATCTTGGTGTAAAGTTGCAATACTGCTAAAGTCGTTCAAATTCTAATCCAATTCAAAATAAATAAATAAATAAATAGATCATATAGCTTTACGCAAATAAGTCTTTTTTTTTAGTTAATTACCTCAAATTCATCTTCAAATCTTTTGCTTTTCTTTAATTTCTTTAAATCTTTTTTAGAAAGATTTAATCTAATAAAGTTTTCTTCTTCATAACGTAATCTTTCTTCTAATTCAATATCGTCATTATTTTGATTATCTGGAATATTGTTGGTAGAACCTATTACTCTTGATTCTTCAGGGCGATCATCGTATTCATCTATTAAATCTTTTATTAAACGAGATTTTGATGCTCTTGATGATAATCTTGATTCTTCTTGTTCTCGTTTAGATTTGACATCTAAGATAATTGATTTAAAAAGAATATTAACTTTATATACAAAATTTAATTATTTTAATTGAGAATTACCTTTGTCTTCTTCAAAATGTACTGGAGCCAATTTTGGTGCTTTGTAAACTCCAGTGTTCAGACCAACTTCCGCATCTAATAATAATAATTCTTATTAATTAAATTCTTACTTTATGATATAAGTTATAAATGAACTTACCATTATTTGTTTCATCAAATTTAGTTACAAGATTCCGTGGGTTCGGTTTGAATGACAAAGGATCAGACACTATTAATTCAACAAAATATATTTTAATTATCAACTTTCTAATGACACCTCACACCTCCTTTTTTTCTCATCAACTTACATGTCAAACTATTTCCACTTATATTATTATTACTGTTCAACTTGATATCATCATTGTTATCAACGATAGTAGCTCTAATTAATTTATCGATTTGATATTTTAATTTTTGTTCTAAAGGTTTTAGCTTTTCTAATACAATTCTCAGTTCTATTAAATTTTCAACAACAGGATGGTTTTGTATTGACTGGCCACTTAATTTCATATAAATTATAAAAGTTAAAGAAGTAATATATTCCAATAATGTATGATATTTTATTTCAAGTAATGATATTCCTTGATTTGTTTTTATTTCATGATTTTTCGCTCTGGGAATTAAAATTAAAATTAATAATAAAAATAATAATAATAAATAAGCAAAGTAAAAGAAATTGTTAGTAAAACTAATTTGAATTGAATAATCAAACTTAATAAAATAAATAATTACTTTACTTTGTTATAGTTGAGGAAAGTTGTTCTTTTATTTCTTTAATTTTTAATTTTAATTCCTTAATTAACCTAATGAAATCAGGAATTTCCTTTTGTAACGAAATATTGTTAATATTATTTGTAATATTATTTACAGAAATTTCAGAATGTTCACTCATTTTTTTCTCCAAGAAAAATATTTTACCTGGATCAGAATAAAAGATCTTGTAATGTGATTTTACTCCACATGATTGGATGATAAAAAAAAAATTTTTTTTTTCCTAAAATTAAATTTTTTTGCGTTTCAAAAAATGGATATTGAGCAGACAAAAGAAGAATTTAAGCAGGCAAAAGAAGAATTGAAGAAGGCAAAGGAAAAATTGGAGAAATTTAATGATAAAAAACAGGAAAGGTTAGATGAGTTGCTACTGAAGATGGCTAATGAAGAAGAGAGGAACGATCAACAGAAAAAATATTGGGGAATTATGATAGATAATCTTAATAAAGAGAAGAATTTTTTGATGGGCCAGGTGGAATATTATCAAAACAAATTATCAGAATTTAATAATAATGGTAATGAACAAATTGCGTAAAAATATTTATATCTCCATTCAATTCCATTTCATTTATTATTCATTTGTATGAGAGACTTTAAACATTTTTTTCTTTTTTTTTTAGCTGTAAAACGCAAGTCTGAAACAGTATCAAGTGAAGAAGATGTTGATAGACGTGCATCAGATCGTATTAAGAAAGTGAAAAAGACTGCATCAGCTTTTGCTTTATCACAAAATTGGGTTGAAGAGTTAGATAATGATAACCCAGCTTTTTTAAATGGTCGTCCACCAAAAAATTATGATATACCAATTACCTTGTATCATAATGTTTTTGGAGAATTTTTAAAAGATTGTAAAGATTTCAACATAACAAATGAAGACAAAAATCTGGTTTGTGACCTGTTAATTACAATGAGTGGTACTTTTAAAAGCCACAATGAGAGAGTAGATGCATTCCGAGAATGGGCTAAGAGGTTTGTCAATTATGATACAACATCTTATAAATTCAATCGCAATGATCAAGAAATTGATGGTGTATGGAGAAAAGAATACAATGGGGAAACTATTTTATTTACCATCTTTGAATTCAAAAATGAGTTTTCACAAGGTGATCCTTACATGCAAGCATGTGCATATTTTGCTAAATTTTTTGAAGAGTTGCATGATAAAAATTCACATATCCTTCATCAGACTTGCATACCAACTTTTATTGTTTACATTTATGGACCCTATTTTGGAATTGCTGGTGCAGTTATGGGACAAAGCATTACTATTGACCCACTTGTTGA